TAGTTAATCTTAGCATGAAATCTTCTACCTGGATGTTGCGTTTTCCAACAACGTGCGCGGGCCTGATGGAGATGAGGCTTATTCTGAATGAGCGACTCGTATGTGTGCAGGAGCTGGGGCGCGAGCTGTACTACCTCCCTGCGCAGGACGCGGTGATGCGGCGTTGGCTCAGCGTCGACTCCCGGCAGCCTCTGCCACACGTGCGCGACCTGCAGCGCGCTACTGCGCTGATGCTCGTAAACGCACATGTTGCGGTCAGCTACCCGCGCCCGCTCATGCCCACACTGGTGCCCGTGGGGGGCATGCATGTTCGCCCAGGCAAACCCCTGCCGGAGGTGAGAGGCCCATTTACGAAGAATTAGAATTGACTCATACGGAGTGTGCAGGATAGAGAGGTGTTTCTAGAGTTGGTTGTCACACAAAACCTATCTTTCCGTGGGTGGGGTATTTTCACCCTTTTTACTTTTCTGCCTTATACTGCAGTAAATAATATTAATATATACTAAAATATTATCATACACATGAGATCATAAATTTAAGGTCGACAAAATCCACCACCTACTAATGGCTATTTTTAAGCCTTAACAGGCCGAAAAACGGTATCGTTCTGTAGGATACGGCTTAATTGTAAATTGATTGATTAGTTTCTGGGCGGCAACTACTAAGTTAAGTATTCTGTAAGTGTAGTGAATGCGCTTTCCTCAATATGTGGCGGTGACCTGCTCTTCTAGATGGCAAGACCCGGCGCCGACCTTCTCGTCAAATTTTACATTTTCCGTTTTAAATTTGTTTGGGTCACTCCTACGATGTAATTTCCTTTTTCAAAAATCTTCTTAAATATTTAGAGAAATGTATAATGTGAAACTTCGCAATCTTTGCCCCAAGATTTATTTGACTCTTAAATTATTTTACAATGTGATTTTATTTTGCACTGTAAATATGATATACGATATAGAACTTCACTTCGTGCTTAAACTCTTTTACTTTTGCAACTCATGCATTTCACCTAATTAACAACTTAAATGTTTGTCATTATGTTATTACAGGATTTAAACAAAATCATAACAAATGCCCGCGATGGAGTCATTTATTTCAGTATGGGATCGGCACTTCAGAGCTCTCAGATGCCTCAAGAGAAAGTTGCAGGCATCCTCGAGGTGTTCGCATCTCTAAAGCAGGTTGTGATATGGAAATGGGAAGCTGATACCCTTCCCGGGAAACCAGCTAACGTCGAGATCAGGAAGTGGTTACCTCAAAATGATATATTGGGTATGTAACAATTTACGTAGTTTGGTAGTTGTAATATTGTACATTTTTTCGTACGACTTTTTTATTTACATTTCTTCACATTCTCGTCGACCTCGAAGGCGCATTGAGGGGATATATATTGTAATAGTCCTCCCTTGTATCGTAATTGTTGGCCGGGCTAGTCAAGTAGAGGAAAGAAGATTATTAACTAATCTTGCTCTGCCTTTCTGACTTCTGAGATGCGGGAGGAAACATGGTATACTACATGTATTGCAAAAAGATTTGTCGACTTAGGATTAATGTCAATATAATTAGGTGGATTGATACTTTATGTACACATAACCAGTGCACGACTCGCCTAGAAAGGAACTAATATTATCACTTATACATTTACTCTGGAACCAATTGTCAGTCTTTGTTCCATCCCCTCATGCTCTTGAGTAGAGTCCCAGCGCGCAGGTAGCCAGGCCTCGGGGCGGCGTGAATGCCACGCAAATGACCGCTCTCAACAAAGGCCCTTGTGATGATAGCGATCCGACGGCACCCGTCTCACCATGTCAGTATGATACTACCCGAGCTTCAAAATGGTTCAAAATAAAGATATTAATTGTTGTGATTTATAATGGCCGTATTTTCTATTTCCTTTGGTCTCGGTTTGCTATACGAACTTGTTACATGTTCTTGCCAGCTGCCATTTATCGCCGCCTAAAATACATTTATTTTTAAATTTTCTATTTTCTAATATTAGAACGAAAATATTATTTTATGGATATTAAAGAACGAAAATTGCATGTCCTTAATTGCAATTTTCTTTGAAAACTTTGGAGCCGTTTTTAAGAGAATGACGCTTAAGCGTGATTGTAAATTTGAAACTTGACGTACTTTTTCTCAGCAAATTTTTTAGTTTTTGGTAAATTTCATTTGGAGTCATTTTAAGATCATTAACTCACAAATACAATAGTGTTTACAAATTGCTGGAAATGTGCATATTAACGGCGAGAGAAATATTTAAAAAATTACATTTGTCTAATTTTTGAAAACAAAATACCCCAACAGTAACTTTATGCCATATTAAAGAGTGCACAATGCGTTCAAAAAGGTTTAAGAAAGAATTTGGAGCAGGTTTTGAGAAAATGGCATTTGAGTGTTTCTGAAAATGTGGAATTTTGAGCTAGTATTCAGAGAAAACTGTTTTTTCGCGCACCTTTATCTGACATTATTTAAAGCAAATGTACTCATAAATATAATAATGTGAGCAAATTGTCGCTAGTGTGAGTGACCTGTGTTAACTGTGAGAGACCCGTATAACAATTACATTCTTGTAATTTTTGAAAAACAAAGGATTGAGCAACATGGCGTTTTGGTCAACTAATATACTGCATAATGCACTATCCTTACCAAAAGGTTAAATTTAATTTAAAAAAATTTTCAGCCGTTTTTTGAAAAAAAATCAGGCTTTTGTAATTTTTGAAAATGGCGCATATTGCTCGCAATTGTGCGCGAAAACTAATAACATTTTGAGAGGCAGACTGAGAGACAGAAATAGAGAATCAGACTGAGAAACAGATATGGAAAGACAAACGGAGAGACAGAGATAGAAAGACAGACGGGGAGACAGGACAGTCAGACGGAGAGATATATAGACAGACAGAGAGACAGACGGAGCGACAGAGATAGAAAAACAGACGGAGAGGCGGGGAGACGGAGAGCAAGGGGGCGGAAAGTAGGAGAGAGAGAGGGAGAGGGAAGGGCAAAGAAGGAGATAAAGGGCAGAACAACGTGTCAGTTTCTGCTAGTGACTGAACACGAAGATTTTATACACGAACACGAACTGAACAAGAATATTTAAAGATCCGTCTTTAAGGAAGGTATTTCTTTAAGGGAAACATCTCTATCTTCAATATTATAGTTGTAGGAAGACGCAAAAAAATCATTTTTGAATTTTTAAAATAATCTGGGATATTAACAAACTGACCTGCAACATTCTCTTAAGCGTTCTTTGTGCTATCCAAAGACAAAGATCAATAAAAAAACGTTTGTGCTATTTATGAGAAAGTTTTAAAATTTTATTTTGAATCTTCATGCAAAGTACCTTGCAAAATCAAAATATCCGTTCGAAACCCCCAAAGCCTCGAGTTCATTCAGATCGATTGGGTAATAGAAATATTGAAGAAAATTATCTGAACGGTTTAGGCGCTAGCGTTGGCTGTGGAGGTTTTTCCGTCAATCAATTTTCCGGTATCAAGGACTCGGCCATCAGAGTTTTTCTCTATGACCATTTAACAATATACGTATTTCTGCTGTATATTTTACCGACGAATGACATCGATTAGACACCCTGTGGATTAGAGTTCGGGATCCACGGCCTGTTGACCAATCACATTGTTAGAATTTTCGGAATCCACTGGCAGAATTTCATTCTCTTTGCAATTTGTGTTAGTTTTAAAATAACAATCGCAGCGTGCGGAAGGACCACATGGACAAAAAATACTAAATTTACGTCAGTTAAAAAGTAAAACGTATTTCCAACGGCCACCACATTTCGCTCACCAAGAAAAATGACTGAAAATCGCAGTATAAAATATAAGTATAGCAATTAACAAATATTCTTCAATGTAAAAACATTCAAATACGAATAATGGAAATACTCTTGTACTAATAAATGTGATTTCAACGACACGTAACCAACATCAATACAACAAAACGTTGTGTATGATAAAGTAAAAGGGTTGTCAGGAATCAAAATGTACGATCTTTTCGATTGGATAGCGATCATCAGGACTGTTGGCTGGGCTATCCGGGACGAGCCGCGTTAATGTCATGGTGGCTAACTTTTCGGCCAGCGTATCGTGGCTTTCTTCGTCTTTCTCGTCTTTGGAGTATTTTCGTGAGGACGGCCTAGATCAATGTCCTCTACTGTCCTGGGTTATGGTTTCTTCTAATTTTTTGGTTGGCCAGCTGCCTCTCGTTCTCCAGAGGGCTGGGGGTGGGTAGGACTAGGATTGTTTAATATTGTGACGGTTTTTTCGTTTAAGGTTATGCATTTAGGGGGTTATTTTGTTGAGGGGGTTGTTTTGGCGTTTCTTGGATCTTGATTTGTCGGGTGTTTTTATGTTGGATGGGGGGGGGAGTTGGAGGATATCTAGGGGTGCTTTTTTCGGGATTGACGCGGGGGGGGGGGAGTTGAGAATATGTTGGTGAGGTTGAATGAAGTGAGTGAATATGGGATTATTTACGAACTGCTGTACCGTGTCTCGGAATGTGTTGAAGATATATTGGGATGTTGTGCTGAGGGGGAGGGATGTTGTGCTGAGTTCGGAAGGTGTTATAGTTTTGCCCGGGAAGAGGGTGAAAGATAAGGCGGATGATGCTGTTTTCAAGGATTTTTAAGTTTTTATATAAGGAGTGGGGGATAGTTGACCAGGTGGAAGAGGCGTATGTAATGATGTATCTGATATGGGTGTAATATAGGAGTTTTTTGTTGACAGAGAGGGATGGGTGACGGAGGATGGGTTGGATAAAATTGATATTTTGGTTTGCCTTGGAAATGGTGGTGTTGAGGTGGGGAGCCCAGGTTAATTTGGAGTTGAAGGTGATGCCGAGGTATTTTATTTGTGAGGACCATTGGATAGGAGTGTTATTGATGGTGATGGGTGGGAAGGGGTTTGGGATGTTTCGCCAAGTGAAGATGATTGCTTCGCATTTGGGAGGATTGATTTTGATAGTTTACTTGGAACCATTGCGAGATAGTGTGAGCAGCGATTTGAAGGTTGTTGATGGAGTGTTGAGAAGTACGGTGGGGGGAGAGAAGGGTGGGTCGTCTGCATAGAGAAATTGTTGAATGCCGTGGCAAGGGGGATGGCCATTTAGGTACATTGAAAAGAGGGTGGGGGACAGAACAGCACCTTGTGGAACTCCCGCCAAGATGGGGTGGGAGGGGGAAAAGTGTGAGAGATATTTGGTTTTGAAGGTTCTATGTGCTAAGTAGTTTGATAGGAGATTTATAGCGAAGGTGGGAAGTTAAGTCGCCGGCGATGATGGTAGGAGTGGGGGATGCAAAGAGAAGAGAAAGGTCTTGAGGATCTAGATTTATGTGTGGTGATTTACTGAGACTGATACTGAGGAAATGTTTATGGGTGAGTTGGAAGAGGATATTTGTATCTGTTGATTCTATGGTGGTTGTGGGTGGAGAGGGTATATGGGTGTGAGGAATGGTGTTTCGTATTAGGATGGCTGTTCCGCCTCCGTGGATTGGTTTGTCAGAGCGGTAAATTGTGAAGTTCGAAATAGAAAAGGGAATATGTGGTTTAAGGTGGGTTTCTTGGATGAGGAAGATGCCGATGGAATAATCTGATAGGAACTGTTTGATAGAGGGCTTTTTGTGGGGTAGGTTCCCGTTGGAGTTCCAGGTGCTTAAGATGAGAGGGTAGGAAGAGGGGGCCATTTAAAAGAGTTCGCAGAGTTTGGTTCCAGCATAGAATAATTTGGACAGGATGTCGTCAGGGGATTTGAAGATAAGGATTATTTCTTTGATGGTTTGGAGAAGCTTAGGAAGGTTGAAGGTTTTTATTAGCTTGAGGAATTCTTTGAGGTCTGTGGCGGTGGAGGTGGATGATGATTCATAGGTAGGTGGTGGAGGGTTTTGTGATGAAGGGGTTGGGGTTGTTACAGTGTTTGCGAAGGATCTGCTGGGATGGGAAGGGAATGAGGATTGTTGGAGGTTGGCGGTGTTGTTGCTGGAGAGGGATTGTCTGATGGTTTGTATTTTTTGGAGATTAATTGCTCTCTGTTGTTGGTGTTGGATGAGGGTGGGGCATTGAGGGTCATTGGCAGGGTGTTCATTGGTG